ATATTGACATTAGACATACACACACATTTACACACACTCACACACACACAGACACACACACACCAACCCCCCTCTCCCCTCACCCATACACCTACAGACACACACGCACACACACCTCCTCACCCACCCCCACCCCCACACCCTCACACTCTCTCTCCCCTCACCCTACCCTCCCCCCTCACCCTTCCCCCCCATCCACTCACACGATCCGTAATGCAAGCGACCCACCTGCGCCCCCCCCCCCCCCCGCCCCCCGCCTGCGAGACCCGAGCGACTGCACGACCTATCTTTAGTGCCGTTGATTCCTCTCCGTGGAATACCGGGGATCTTCCTTCGCCTCGTCCGCGCTCTTGGGGGATTAAAGCTGTTGTTTTCTTAGAGGATTGTTGTTGTTGTTGTTGGTGGTGGTGGTAGAAGTGTTTTTGTTGTTGTTTTCCATTAATTAAAGTGTTTTATTTTTAATTTCTTAGAGGACTGTTGTTTGATTGTTGGTGTTGTCTTTATTGCTGTATTTATAATTGTACTTGCAGTTGTTGCTGTTCTTCTTCTTGTTTATCTTTGTCATTGCTTATGTTTGTTTGTTTTTGTCTGTGTCCTCCGTGCGCTTCGTGTTTGTCATCTGCTGTTCGTGTTTTGTGTTTATCCGCCTTGCCTTTCTCGTCTCTGCTCGTCGCTCGCGCTTCTTGTCTTTCCTGCAAATCTGCCTTGCGTAACTTCCGTGTCCGTTCTGCGCCTCTCCCTGTCGGTCTCTCTTTCGTGGGTATGTTTGTGTTTTTCGTATCTTTTTCCTTCCTTTTCTTCTTCTTCTTTTTCGCCTTCTTCTCCTTCTTCTTCCTCTTGTTCCTTTTTCTTTTCCCTCTTTTTCTTCTTCTTTTCTTTTTCTTTTTCGTCTTCGTCTTCGCTTTCGCCTACTCTTTTGTCTTTGTCTTCGTCGTCGTCTTCGTCTTCGTCTTCTTCTTGACTTTTTGTTACTGTATTTTAACATCTATTTCACTCATGTCATTTCGTTGTTCGTGTGTTTCGTGTCTGCTTGTTGTCCATATCTTTCGTGCCTGTCTGTCTTTCGTGCATATTTGTTTTCTGTTTTTTTATTATCTATTTTGTCTGCCGCTCGTGTTTGTATATTGTCCATTATCTTTTGTGTCTGTCTGCTGAATTTATCTCGTCATCTGCTGCGATTTAGCTATGTTTCCTACGCATACATTTCGTTGATGAGGATACTATTTACATAAGTTTCATTATTTTCCTGCTTGCTCCAGTCACATCTCGACAGGCACGTTACTTCTATCACATTGTAAATAAAGTGTTCACTCTTCTAACACAAGCTATCTAATGGAAAATAAATGTTATATAATGTTCACTCCATGAATGTATTCATGTATATATAGAATATATATATATATATATATATATATGCGTGTGTGTGTGTATGTGTGTGTGTGTGTGTGTGTGTGTGTGTGTGTGTGTGTGTGTATCATGAGTGTGTTTTGTTTGGTTTCGTTTCCGCACGTGGACATCGAGTCTATATGTGCCTGATGTCCGTAAAAAATATGTTATTTATCCTATGGCGACTCCATAATAAAAACATCTGTTATCGTGTGCAGTGCGTGCGTGCTTTTCCGGTGTCTGTTTTCCATCTTATTCGCTGGAATCGGTTTACCTTACAAGCTTCGATGGGAATCCGCTCTATGGACGTTCCGTCATTCCGGCTGTATTCCTTTTTTCCTTTTTTTTTTCTTTTTTTTTTTCTTTTTTTTTTTTGGCAAGGTCTGCGATCCGATTTTTGGCTGTAATATGCGGAGTCCCAATTCGCCATTCGTGCTCCATCGAGATTCGCGAGCGAGTCCCCGGCAGTTGGCAATTCGCTGCGATTTCAGCCGAGGGCAATTCCGTCCGGCGTTTCGCGGCGAAGCTAAAAATACGCGAATTGATAAGCTCCTTTGTGAGAGGGTCGTGATTAAAGCTTTTTTTTCAATGGTTAATGCTCGGGGGTTCGTCATCTTTATACCGCATGTATACAGTATACATTATACAGTTTACAGTAAATGGATACACACAAACATGCATAAACACACACACACACACACACACACACACACACACACACACACACACACACACACACACACACACACACACACACACACACACACACACTT